TTCAGAGACCCAATTAGAGCATGTTTGGGGTGGCTTATAAGTAAGATTATAAGTATGAGAGAGAGCTTCACATACTTTTTCTCTCTCATACCTATAAGCACTCACCCAAGCATGCTCTTAGTCGACCATAGGCACATAGCATTTCGAGTTTATTGATCCTCTTTAATTGATCAGTTCAAGAAAAATAATAATATGGGGAAGGTTATCAAAGCTACAGAAGAAAACAGAGCAACAAAAAAAAGAGGATATATTACAATCTCGAAAGATCTTAAACATGATACTAAACTTCCAGCAAAGTGCATATTGGAACAATTTTTCTGATAAATTAAAACTTACATACAAAGAGTATCCATAAATGACTCACGAATTGGCTAATTTATATTCACAAAAAACTGCAAGCCCAGGGTATCTAAACTCTGGCATGTCACACTCATGAGAAATCCATAAGCTGCACTCCACTTAAACTACTTGCACAGCTTGATTATGAAAGTTATCCAAAGGTCACTGAATTTGAAAAAAATAAAAACCTCAAGTTAAGAGGCTGACAGCTTACTTACCAATTTAAAAGCCTGAAACCTGGGAGGCGCCTGTCTTCATGTGCTCTCCTAAGTAAATTGAATAGCTCTCTTGCCATAAAAATTTGGATAACAACTACCATGGCCCAGATATAAAGGTGACCCATGTAGATTATGAAGGCAAAACCTCCAATCATCCAAACGGATGAATACGTACGGATTAACATTGACTTGTATTTGTTTGTATCGTCTACAAGTAAATGGCTTCCATTTGCTTTAACAACTTCAGGGGGAACCTAAAATATTAGAAATGAAAGGCAATAAGATAAGATGTTTGAAACCACGTTAAATATAATTTATTTATTATTTTTTTTAAAAGAGGTATTTTAAGTCAAGAATATTTTTGGATACAAATTTAACACAAAAAAAGAAAGAAAACGTAAATGGAGAAAATTGTAGTCCTCGCAATTCCTATTCGCTAATATAAAAACTAAATTCCTGAGGTTAAGATAAAATATATCAAAAGGGAAGTAACATTTAAATACTCTTCTTCACATGTTCTTTACCTGTTGTTTCCCTAGCAACCAAGTGAAGAAGAACAAATTCCTCAGCATTTGCCAAGTCAGACACGAGGGTAAATTTCCCAATACCTAATATAGGTCTACTGACAGTTGCAATGTGATCGAGCTTGCAATGTACAACAAAGCACTACTTCGATAAATTAATGAAAAATTAAAATGAAATCTCCAAGCGTAAAGGAGGTAAGGGTCAGATTCTTCCAGTGTTAGTACTTTGTATTCTTAGTTGAACCAAACAAGTCTTAAAAACAAACTCCATTTGGCCAATCTTACGTGTTTGAGAAAAGCACAAAATGACATACCTGCATGATGCATAAAATCGCATAAAAAATATAACCAACCTCATTTGAGCCTTTGCGCCGGCGTAGCCGGCCACTAAGACCGCTAGGCGTTGATGGGCCGCCAGAATCGTTGTCCTTTTGCATAATTACTCCTCTAGTTAAACTCCTGTAGAAATGTTAACATAAATATTCTAATATCACGAAATCAACTGAGAAACTGAGAGCAAACATTGGAACAGTTAGCACCACTTAAATCTCCAAGTAGATGGAAGAAACAAAACCAAAGTAAAAAAAAAAAGGACTCCCCTCATCTTTTTTTGTCCTGATATCATTTCATAATTCAAGACCTTACAAGGTACAGTTAAAAACAAAAGAAGGAAAAGAACACCAACAACAGTTTCTACTTATGTTTCATTCAGATTTTCCGTCTGTTAATGTTCCTTTGGTTCCAATAGTATCAAAGTAAAGGTTAGTTCGAAAAAATAAAAATAAAACATCAAAAGAAGAGTTTATTTAAAACAACTAAAAAAGGAAACGAAAAAGAAGCAACTACCTATTAGCAAATTTCAAAATCTTTTGTCTGGATTCGTTCACTGGGAAGAATTTCCTTAGTTTGTTATATCATTTTGGTTACCCAAGCATGAACAACCAACACGTTTTATTCTCTTTTATTTGATGATTTCAGTGCTCTAAACAATGTTAGAAATATAGACTTGCGCTGAATTGATATAAACACTGCAGAATTCATCAACAAGAAGCTAAAACAATTCCAGCAACTTAATTTCATAGACTTTTTTTCGTAAACAGAGTCCAATATTTTTGAGACCGAAAACAACGAGAATACATGGATATAAACGGATAAACACAATCAGGGCAGCAATGAAAAAGTAAATCAAATTGATCAGACCAAATTATAATATCATGCACTTTTTGAGGATTAAACAGCTAAAGAACGCAACTTTGATTTGAAAAAAGTTCANGCACTTTTTGAGGATTAAACAGCTAAAGAATTCAACTTTGATTTGAAAAAAGTTCAAGCGGCTTAAACCAAATTTCATTAAAAAAACTCCATCAGTTCGTAAACCCCAGACTCAAGAATTTACCCGCATACATGCCCATAAATTGTTGAACAGTAGTTTAATCCAAATAAAAAAAACCTTAAAAAATCTTAACAAGATGACAGTACACGCGTAAGAGCTACATCAGACGGAGAGAGAAACAAAAAAATTAAAAATAGAGATCTAACCTTTCCTCCGTGTGTATGTTTCCACAAAGAAGTAAAGAGTGAATGGAAGTTCGTGGGAGTAAGGATTTTCAGTGGGAACTGAGGGGTCTGGTGAAAGATTTGTGAAGTTTTGGGGTCAATTTATGAATATTTGAGAGATTAGTTTTTGGAAAACGTGGTCCATTTTTTGGGTTTCTAATAAACTAATTTATAAATACATAGGAATAATTAAAGCTTTCTAAAATAAAAGTAAAGTTACTTTGACATCGGCTCGATTGTCCCTACTCGTACTTTGAGTTTTAACGCCTCACTATATCGTATTTGAATAACAAATCAAAACACATTATTTTAAATGCGACTACAATGATGTGTCGTATTGCTATTTGATATTTCAAAATGATACTGAGAAATATCAAAATATAAGTAGAAGATAATAGATAATAATTCAATTTTTTTTTTATTTTTAAGTAAAAACGTACTTATTTTTTTACTATTGAAATAAGTAATTTATTTATTTTGAATGTCACTTATAAAAAAATATTTATATTTTTACGTAAATGTAAATATTATAAAATTGTCAAACGTAATTTAATCTTGATTAATTGGTTATGTTAATGCATGATAATTTCCTCATATTCAAAGGGTTGGTAAATAGAACTTGTTTATTGCAATGTCATTGGTTGAGTAAAAGAGTAATGCAATTAGTATTAAAGATAGTGATAGAAGAAGAAATTTAGCAATATTTTGATAATTTTGATTGTTGAAAAGGAGATTCCGGTTCCAATTATTTTAATTTTTGTTGTTATTGCCTTTTTATTTTGGAATCAATTGGTATATAAGTATCGATGAATATTTCAACATGATGGAGAATAAGTTCAATGTGAAAATGATATAAAAATAGAGCAAGAATCTTGATACTTGAAAACTACGCGTACAAATGTATCCCCTCTTAAAAACTCATCTGTCCACAAATTCATTTTCAATCATATATGTTTTCAATAAAATAATTTTAGGCGTAAATTCAAAAATCTTCATATTTTTTAAACACACATATTTCGAAAAATCATTATTACAAAATCTGTTCTCCCAAAAAATAGGGCTAAAAAGAAAAAGAAGAAGAAAAAAAAAAAAAAAAACTCTTTAACTTGATCCAATCAATTGCGCTGAACAACTTAACATTAAAATTACTAAAGTGAGATCCTCAAGCTTTGCATGCTTTTAGCAAATGAGTCTCCAATCAATTCTTGTTGGCATTTATTACCAACATTTTTAATTTGCAGTCTCCACTAAGAGTTTCAATCCCCTTTAACCATTAAATAGTCCAATTTTGGTTGAAATTAAAGGCTTTTATTATACTCTTATTTTATAATTACAAAACATGGAAAATGGAAAACCTTAGACCCTTCAACATTACCTTAAATTCTTACCCTAAGCAAAAGGTAGAGGCACGGGACACGAAGAATATGAGTGAGATTCAAGAGTGGGCGTGCTAGAGAAAATCAATAAGCAAATGGCAAGCGAGACGAAAAGGAAGGGTAGGAAAAATTAGATGGAAGATGTGTTAGAGAAAACCAAATAGAATGTGCGAGAGAGATGAACGGGATGGGTAGAGAAATCGTTGAGAGATGTTTTTTTTTTCTTTTATTCTTCATTCATTTTTGTTGAAATTATTTATGTCTCTAAATTTAACCTCTATTTTTCATGTGTGCTCTTGTAACCAACGTAGATGAAAATCGCTAACTTCTGAAATTAAAAGTCAAAACAGTAAGCCCAGTTTGAAGGCCATTATTTAGAGAAAATTGAGTTTTGAATAATGATTTTTTAAGAATGTGTGGTTACGAAGTAGGAAAAATGTTTTGAATTTATGTGCAAAATATTTTATTATGTAAATATATGATTGAAAATGAGTATGAAAATTAAAAAAATTTAAAATAATGGTTGTAAAACGACTCTCAAAAAATTGTAGATGGAAAATTTAGGTGTTATAACTTGCCCACATTTCAAGAAGATTCAAATCCAAATCCCAAAATCTATTAACCCTTTCGTTTCATTGAACCCGGTTGGTCTAATTAACTCAATGGGTTCAAAGAATGAAGAATCCGATGGCTGGCCCGAGTGACTCACTCGGATCAAGATTCTTTGGACTTGTACACCGTTACGCACACCGCGCAAGTTAGTTTAGTAAATATAGCCTTATGAAATTAACATACGCACCTTTAGATATTACTCACCACTGAACAGATAATCTGAATCCAAATTCCTGTATATTCAAAATAAATTTCTGTATGTATTGTTTTATTGTTTATAGAATTTGATTATGGCTACCATGCCTTCATATCAATTTTATCCAAAAAATAATTTCTTGATAAACTCATTCCACAGCTCAGTCTCCAAATTCCATGGTAGAACAACCCTACAGTTCTTCAAGTACAGTTCTTCACTCCCCTCCAAGAATCTATCTTTTAGTGCAACCCATGATACCATCCACTCAGATTCATTCCCCAAGAAAAAACCACAAAGAAGACCCAATCTTTTGCCAAAACAGAGAAGCAAAAGGTGGAATTTGGGTAGTGAAACACCCATTTCACAGTCAAGTGATAGGGAGAGGATATCTAGTAATTCTTGGTTTGATAAATGGAATAAAATGGACAGGCCAAATGGCGTGAGAAGGCCCCCAGTAGCGTTGAATTATAGGAATAGTGGGGATGTTTCGAGTTCTGATTGTGAAGAAAGTACTAGTACTAGTAGTGGTGGTAGTACAATGGAGAGGATTGTTGAGAAGTTGAAGAAGTTTGGGTACACGGATGATATTAACGAGAACAATGGGAATGTAGGAAGAGTGATTGAAAAAGGGTCAATAGAAGATATATTTTATGTTGAGGAAGGGTTATTGCCAGATACAAGAGGTGGGTTCTCGGAGAAGTCGTTGTTCAGGGATGAGAGTAGTAATGGAAAGGTGAGGTTCCCATGGGAGAAAAAAGCGGTAGAGGATGAGGAGAAGCGGAGTTTAGACAGACGAAAGGTTAGGAGTTTGGCTGAGTTGACTCTTCCTGAGTCGGAGCTGAGGAGGTTGAAGAACTTGGCTCTTCGGATAAAGAATAAGACAAGGATTAGTGGTGCAGGTATTACACAACAGGTTGTGGAGACTATTAAAGAGAAATGGAAAACATCTGAGGTCGTGAGGTTGAAAATTGAGGGTGCTCCTGCCCTCAACATGAAGCGAATGCACGAGATTTTAGAGGTCAGCTCTCATATAACTTTTATAAAATTATACTGTTTTGTAGTTATTATCTGTTGTCATCTGTTTTATGAATACATAATAACAAAAGTCATGAGAAAGGATGTAAAAGAGGGACGATAACCATACAATATCAATTAATTATACTTAACTGTTGGAATGCGCTTTGAATTTGTTAAAATAAAGAAGAAGCTTTAAAGCCTTTTAGTAAAATGTGGTAATAGTAGAATGGAAGTGCTTTTGGACGAACTTGTTAGAAATCTTGTAGTACTATCATTTGGAAGTTCTTACTGCTCTACCTGGTTTATAGTCTCATGGCAAGAGATGGTAGGTCATCACTGTAGTAATTTTTACTTGGTGCTGTTGTGCCATTAGTTCTGTTAAGTCTTTTCAATGGAGCATTGAAGAGAAAAGGATTATTTTTGTCACATAAAAATCCTTCAGCTTTATTTGCAAATCCTGATTCGAATTACTTTAAGCATCGGAAGGTTAAGTCCTTTGTAAACTGAGTAAGGTAGCTGATAGTTGAGAGGACCTTTTAGAATCCATGGCTTCAGTAAGTAAAACTGGTCCATTTATCTTAAGAAAGGATATACATTCAGAGTAGTTTATGCCTTTAACTTCAAATAGATTACGATCTAAAGAAATAATCATTCTTAATGCTGTTGTTGATGCTGCTTTTTGTTGTTCAGAGAAAAACTGGTGGGTTGATTATCTGGAGATCTGGCACTTCTGTTTCTCTTTACAGAGGTGTAACTTATGAAGACCCTGCTGAAAAATTGAAGAAAAGGATGTTCGACAAAAATGAAATTTCTCGTAAGTCCTCTTCCACTGCTTCTGACGAGGCTAGTCCCTCTGGACATGGTCCTTCAAGTGATATGGATGCACCTCAAGCAGAGACTATACACACTGGCTCAGACAGTAAAAACAATGAAACACTGATGGAAGTGAAATATGAAGATGAAGTAGAGAAACTATTAGATGGACTTGGCCCAAGGTATACAGATTGGCCTGGAGATAGCCCACTTCCTGTAGATGCAGATTTCCTCCCAGGAGTCATCCCTGGTTATCAGCCTCCCTTCAGATTACTTCCTTACGGTGTGAGATCAACCCTTGGAACAAAGGAGGCGACCTCTTTACGGAGACTTGCCAGAGTTCTGCCACCACATTTTGCACTAGGTATGCATTTCTTGTACGTATGACATTTGATTAGAAATGATAGCTACTGGCATAAGACTTAGATTGTTGTCGATAACAAGAAATATTGTTATTTTATTGATGATTGACGTCTCCAGGCAGAAGCAGACAGCACCAAGGATTAGCTGCAGCCATGATAAAGTTATGGGAAAGAAGTAAAATTGCCAAAATTTCTCTAAAACGTGGGGTACAGCTAACTACAAGTGAAAGAATGGCTGAAGATATCAAGGTAACACAAGATACTCAAGCTGGTGTGAGCCCCAATAAATTGAAAACGAAATTATAAGTACATCGATGAAGTGGAAAATTTTCAAGATATACAGTGATACCGACTTGATTTATACCTAGCTAGCCTCTTAATGTTTATCTTATTTTGATACTTAAAGGCCTATTGTCAATTTGTGTGTTTCATAGTTCTCAATGAGCCCCTACTCTCCTCTTCTTAACAGTGGAAAGGTATTTCTTGTCATGAGGAATATATGTTGAACCAGAACCACTATCTAAAAGCTTAAGTTGTTAAAGAAGGGACAAATACAATTATTTAGATTCACCAGTGGGATTAGTCGAGATGCGTGCAAACTGACCCGAACATCCACGGTTATTAAAAAAAAAGATTCTGTCTCAAACATGCCCCTTCTCGTGCAGGCTGAATTCATTTTTCAATCAAAGTTTCTAACACGTGCCCAATTTTCAGAAGTAGGTGGCAACGGGACTTGATCCCATTACCTTACCTTGTCCTGATATCACATTGGACAACCTCATTTAAAAGCTTATGCAGGCATAAAAGGGGACTTGATTGATACATGCACAATTTTCATGAATGGGTAGCTGGATACTTGATCCGAAGACCTTTGCCTGCCTTGATATTATATTAACCACATCATCTAAAAGTTTAAACTATCAAAAAGAAGACATGTTTATTTTTGCTAAATTTTGTCTTCAACAATATGCAACGAAACTGAAATTGATTATACTCAAGGATGAATTACTACCATCTAATTATATTATAGTAGGTGTATTCTCTTTACTCTTTTATGATAATATGTGAACTTGTTTATAGCTGAGATATAATGGCACGCTGATATTTTTCTGTCAAGCTTTGGTCCTGTAAGTTTCCTTGGACAATAATATTTTTGGCAAAATGAGAAAATGACATTCTTAAATTTTATCATCATTTTGATCAATCAACCTGTTTGTTGGGTTAGAGTAAGTTTACTCTAATTACATCTGGTGAAATCATTGATTAGTTTCATACAACCAGGAAAAAAAAAAGAAGAATTAACAAAAAAGAGGTTGATTATTCATTATTGTAAACACAATCTTATGTGTATGATTGATGACACTTGTGCTTTGAGTAGACTTTATTTTTCCTCAATATCAGAAGTTATTAATGTTTTTGTTCCTATATCAATCATCAAATTAATCTGATTCTTACGGAAAATTAACTCAGATCATTATGCTATCTTTGATCATTTGGATTGTAAATAATGGCATTTTGTGAGTGCTGGAAAAATTTAAGTCCCCGGTCCATTGTCAATTTGCATTCAAAAAGTAGTTGCTTGAAGGGAAGAAGAAATAAAAGAAATAAAAGATTGAAAAGAAAAAAAGATATAGTTTTGTTACTTCTCTCTGTGTATACCTTTTTTCAATGTTTATTCTTCTCGTCATAAGTTGCTTATCCATCAAATCCATCAGATATCTAAGCTCTACTCACTAATTTTTCCCTCAGTTTATGGTATAACATCCATTTAACTTATCACGCTAAAAGTCACCTGTAGGACACCAAGTCACCAACCATAAAAGAGAACTGAGACCTGCTTGAAGGGTCTTTATTCTTATGGGCAGTAAAGGAGCCTCTAATTTGGTTGTACTTCTTGCAGAGATTGACTGGCGGTATGCTGCTCTCTAGAAACAAGGACTTTTTGGTGTACTACAGAGGGAAGGACTTTTTGTCGCCGGATGTTGCTAAAGCATTATTGGAAAAGGAGAGATTGGCAAAAACCTTGCAAGATGAAGAAGAACAAGCACGTTTGAGAGCATCAACTTTTGCTATACCAAGTGTGGAAGATACTGATAAGTCTGGAGTTGCAGGTACACTCAAAGAAACTTTAGATGCAGATGCTAGATGGGGAAAACGGCTGGATGATGAGGAAAAGGAAAAGATGATGAGAGAAGCCGAAGTGTTAAGGCATGCTGACCTTGTCAGAAAGCTTGAGAAGAAGCTTGCTTTTGTAAGTTTCGTTCACTAAATTGTCTTTTGGTTTACTTAGTTTTGTTTATTTATAGATGCTTTTCATTTCCTGTATTTGTCTCCTTAAAATATTGTCGATTTGAAATTTCTGTAACAGGCTGAGAGAAAGCTAACGAAAGCAGAACGAGCATTGTCAAAGGTAGAGGAGTTTTTAAATCCAGCCGATCATCCAGCAGACCCAGAAAGCATTACCGATGAGGAAAGGTTCATGTTTCGGAAGCTTGGTTTAAGAATGAAAGCCTTTTTACTTCTCGGTAAACGAATTCTACTTTCTGATTTTTATTTTATTTTTATTTAAATAAACGTTGTTTTTACTTACACAGCCTTTTTCAGGTAGGCGTGGAGTTTTTGGTGGTACAGTGGAGAACATGCACTTGCACTGGAAGTACCGTGAATTGGTCAAAATCATTGTAAACGCTAAAAACTTTGAGGAGGTTAAAAATATTGCACTATCTCTTGAAGCCGAGAGTGGTGGTGTGTTGGTTTCAGTAGACAAAGTATCCAAGGGTTATGCCATAATTGTTTTCCGGGGTCGGGATTATAAAAGGCCTTCCTCTCTAAGGCCAAAGAATCTTTTAACAAAGCGGAAGGCATTGGCACGTTCAATTGAACTTCAAAGACATCAGGTACACCAAATAGATTTTGATTGCACGTCGTTTCAACTATATCATATAAAATAATTCAATTGCTTCTGATTCATACTGCATTATTGGTTTTTACAGGCTCTCATGAACCATATTTCAACATTGCAAACAAGAGTGAACCAGCTAAATTCGGAAATTGTACGTCTTCTTGTCTTGGCATACAAATGTTATGTTTTCTATTACGTAATCCTTTCCCGCTTCTTTTTATTTTAATTTCTTTTCCCCTAAATAATGTTATGGACGAATATTTTTTCACAACTGTAGGAACAAATGGCGGCTGTGAAAGACCGGGGTGATGAGGAACTTTATAATAAACTAGATTCTGCTTACCTTACTGAAGAAGAGGATAGCGAGGTTTGTAGTACATGTCTAAATGATTCCATTTTTCATTTGAGAAGATAGCAAATAATTTTTCTTGAACTTATTGGCAAAGTAATATTAGCTTTTGCTGAAGTAAATAATGCAATTTGGAACCGTATTTTCTGCTCAACATTCCAGTGTATGGTTCTTTTCTTATTCTTTTACACTCTTCTTAATTTATTTTATCAGGTGGACGAAGAAGATGCTTACCTTGAGACTTACAACAGTGGGGATGACGGGGTCCATGAAAATGATATTTCAGTTCAGAATCTTCAGTCGGAAACAAATTTTCCACATGGTTTCAAAGATGAATCAGAAACGGAACTTCGAGAGGTATAAGGAGACGATTGCAACATCAACTCTGGGGAATAATTAGAACGATGGAGGATATTACCGAGCAAGCAGGAGCTGGAATTACATTGTAGTCACAAAAAATGAAATTGATTATTTTGGATTCTATCCTGTTCCTTGTTTGACAGGGATGATTGGATACTACATTTTCATGGAGCTAAAGTCTTGTTCCTTATATTGCTGAGCGCGTCTTTACTGTTATTGCTGAATAGTCATTGATGAGCATTTAAACATTGGAAGCATTGAGTTACATGCCTAACAAGTCTTGCACTGAGCAGTAGAAGAAGATAAGTGGAAAATTTACTCATCAACAAACTAGATTTGGTACGCCAGATTGAACATGACCATGTAATATTTGCTGCTGAGTTCTTCCCGTCGTTGCCAAATATGTCATAATGTTACAATGAGGCAGTAAGTACTTTATCGTTCTTTTTCAGGGAAAAAGATAAAATCGGAGATACTAATAAACTGATGACAGCACCCATACACGGTGGTCTTGGAGTTAAGGGTCTTCGTATTCTTTCATTCTTTGTAAGGGCTATGTTGAAGAAGTTCACCTGAAGATTCTTAAGTTTCTACTTAACTGTGCACTTGATATTTCACCATGATGGATCATAAACCGTTAACGTGGTCTGTCTGCTCTTCTATTTGGCCAATCTTGAAATTTCATTATGTTAGCCTCCTCTGGAGACTCGCACGAAATATTCCCTCAAATACACGTGGACGAACCTTCCTAGGCCTTTTCGCTTATCTCAATCAACGCATAGTGGTGGTGAATTCAAGTCCATATTCATTGGTCTGGACTTGTTCTGTAGATGGTAACGTTTCTTATGCGAGTGTCTGAAAATTCCCCCTCCACTCGTATGCGGACTGAAAGCGACAGCTGATTTCGACATTTATTTTTTGGCCCAACGCCCCTTCATAAATCTCCAGGATTCTTTTGATTACGGAACGCTCCATCATACTAGCACGACAGAAGACGAAACTTTCATCTACGAAAAAGAGGTGACTGACCCGGGGCCCTCTTATTGAGCAGCTGAAGCCTCTAATAATTGCTTGCCTCTCTGCTGATTGTGTAAGTGTCGACAAACCTTCTGAACAAAATAAGAATAAATATGGCGATAGCGGACATCCTTGTCTTGTCTGGAGGGTGTAATCAGGGGAGATTTTGCAAAATGACCTATGAATAGTGGCTTTTTAAGATTTTTGTTAAAAAGTCAGTTTTACCCTTAATGAAATGGGTCATTTATTGCAGATCAAGTCTTCAATCCTTATAATTTTTTCGAAATTAGTTTTATTC